GGGATTGGAGATGCGCCATTCAAAGTTCGCGCCATTCACAGGGATTGGAAGACGGTTTTCGAGCCATTCAGTGCCTCATGGACTTGAGCTCCTGGAAGAGAAGCGCTCTCCGGGCGCCATCTTTACCAACACCTGTAGTTCCAAATACTCAGGAGACTGAGGCAGGAGGATTGAAAATTTGAGACCAGCCTGGGCAACTTAGCAAGACCCTATCTCAAAACAAAAAATTTTAAAAAGGGCTCAGGATGTAGCTCAGTGATAGAGTACCCATGGGTTCAATCCCCAGTACTATGAAGAAAAAAATAAAGAAGGAAAGGAAGGAAGGGAGGGAGGGAGAAGGGGGAGAAGAAAGAAGGAAGGCAGGATGAAGGAGAAAAAAGAAAATGAGATAGAAATTACTATGGTACACTACCAAAAAGTCAAGTAAACACAAAAGGAAAGAATAATAGAGAAAGTGGGGGTGTGGGGTGGGTATAAGACAAACATGACAGAAGTTAAATTCTTTCTTATCAGTAAATATTATACATGTAAATGGATTAAATTTTCCAACCAAAGGCAGAGATTTGTAGAATGACAAAAATGATCCAATGATATGCTATCTATAAGAGATTCACTTAGATTCAAAGACACAAATATGTTGAAGGATAAAGACTATATAAAGATATTCTGTGCAAAGAGTAACCAAAAGAAAGCTGGTAGCTATGCTAACATCAGACAATAGACTTCAAGTCAAAAACTGTTATCAAAGATACAAACACTGTATTTATAAAGGGTCAATTCATCAAGAAGATATAATAATTATAAACATATACACATCATATATGAAGCAAATATTGACAAATATTAGGGAGAGAAAGACAATACTACAAATTAGTTGGAGACTTCAATACCCCAGTTTAAATAATGGATTGAGAAACTAAATAAAAGATCAATAAGGAAATAGAAGAAAGCAGACAACACGATAAACAATCTAGACCTAAAAGACTCACAGGAAATTTTACTCAACAACAGCAAAATACATATTATTTTGAAGTGCATACGAACATTCTCCAAAAAATAGATCATATGTAGGTCACAAAAAAAATCTCACAAATTTAAGAAGACTGAAATTAAAATATTCTCTTTGAATACAATAGAAATAAAACAGAAATCAATAACAAAACTGGAAAATTCACAAATACGTGGAAATTAAGCAACAAATTTTTAAACTACCAATAGGTCAAAAAAGCAATCATAGCAGAAATTAGAAATACTTAAACATAAATAAAAATAAAATGACAATATACCAACTACATGGGATGTAGCAAAGGCAGTTCTCAGAGGGAAATATATAAGCAGAAAATGCAAACAATAAAAAAGAAAGACTTTAAATAACCTAACTTTATACCTTAGGAAACTAGAAAAAGATGAGCAAATGAAACCCAAAATTAATAGAAGAAAATAATAAAGATTAAAGGTAAAAAAAATAGAAAAAAGTAGAATTAAACCAAAAATTGAGAGAAGATTCAAGAAATTAAAATCAGATTTAAAAAATGGGATACATTACAGCAATACAAAGTATTATGAGAATATTATATGAACCATCGTATGTCAACAAATTGGATATCATGAAATCTAGGACAAATTTCTAGAAAGAGAAAAGCTATCAAAACTGACCAGGAAGAAATAGAAAATGTTGGCATTTTCAATGTGAATTACTGTATCTGTGATTACATCAGTATATTTTTGTGAGTTGAATCTAGTATTTGTTCCTTCCTATATGTTCAATCTTGTTCACCTCAATGTAGAACTAGGAATGCTATAATATGTAGTCAGAGGACTACTAGACAAAAACTACATGTTTTAATTCTTCCAGTTCTTCTTTAAAAATAAAGTTGAAAATTGGCATATACGTAGTCTATTAAAAAATTAATCAACATGTTCAGTTTTTCAAAGATCTTCATTTAGGCTGGGCACAGTGGCTGGTACATGTAATCCCAGATAGATAGATAGGAGGCTGAGATGGAAGGATCACTTGAACTCAAGAGTTTAGGGCCAGCCTGAGTAACATAGAAAGATACTTTTTAAAAAATATATGTCTTTATTTAGTAGATATTAGAAGGTTACTTAAAAAGAACTTAGATTTCATGAGTCAGATATTTTAATACAGATGAAGGCAAGATTTTTATTCAAAAATAACTTTCTCTAAGTAAAGGATTAGAGGTTTCATTATGAGCAATTTTTTAATATTATGAGATTTAAAATAACTAGTAGTTTTTCTTATTGCATGAAATCAATTAAAAGTTGGCTTTAATTCAAAACACTGTAACCCACCAAAACATGAACATATAAAAGAGTATTTTACAATGCTTTAATACATTGTAAACATTTTCTCAAAGAGTTTTAAACACTCTAGCAGACCAAAGATACTTTGAATGTTCTCTAATTACTTCATATTGCACTAGTATTATGTAATCAGACAAAGTCTCTAAAACTGCAAGTAACATAAAGCTACTACTTAAGTGTCTAATTGTGTATTAGACCCTTCATATGTTATCCCTTTCAAACCTTTTAGCTCATTCTCAACTGATATCCTCCTTTTCTACATCATTGGAAAAATGATAGTAGCTACAATCTGGAATTTTCTCACTTGTTTTTACCAAACCTATAAGCCCATTCTTATCTGAATCTTTTCTTCCTCCTTCCCTATTATTCTACCCTCTCTCAGTTTGATGAAGCCTCTCTAGATCAAACTACCCATTTACAGAAAATAGAGAGGACTAGAGAATCTGCTACAGTACTATGCAATCAGCACAATCCATCCTCCAGGAAACAGGACAAATGTAGCCCCCCGCCCTTGTTTATCTTCAACAATAAACTTCAAAGGCGGGGGAAGAAGTAGGAAAGGATATTTGTAGATTAAAAGAGATTTACAAGTCAAATCAACAAATCTCAATGTGTGAAATTTATTTGTTCTTGAGTCATACAAAGAAACTCCAAATTTCCAATTTAACTTTTAAAATTTAAACACTGACTAGATAGTTGATATTAAAAATAATTTTTATATGTGATTATACTGTTATATGTATTCTAAAAAGCTTATAGAGATTCATATCATTATATTTAGAGATGAAATGATTAAAGTATTTGGGATTTAATTCAGCATACAGGAAGAGAGCAAAGCAGCAGAGGTATAGATGACAGAAAACTGGCCAATAGTACATATTATTGAAACAGAATGATGGGTATATGGGTCCATTATATCATTATTTACTTTTGCAAATGTTTGAAATTTTTAATAGTAAAATCATGTTTAAAATAAACAACAGTAAATAGTGTTTTATGAAATAAAACCTACATATTCCTTTTTATAATACAGCTAGTGGCAATTATTTTTGAACCCCACTACTCCCTCAATCACACATGTCCATTTAATCACCAAATTCTACTGATTTTTTTTTTTGTGGTTCTGGGGATAGAACTCAGTGCCTTGTGCATGTGACACAAGCACTCTACCAACTGAGCTATATCCCCAGCCCCTTGATTCTTCTTTTAATTGCTGCTTCTTTCCATCTACTCCAGCTAAATTTGGCCTGTGCACAAAGCATGACTATTTTTGACTACTTCTAAAATTAGCCAGTTTTTAAAAAGTAAACAAAAATATTTGATCATACTAGTTCTTCACTTAAAATCCACTAATAGATTCTCATTGATCATAGGAGAAAGGCTAAAGTATCTAACATGCATACAAGGCCCTGCAGGGTCTACTCTGACCCTGTGTATATCCCACTCCATTTCAGGATGCTCTCCCAAGATGCATCCCCATACTCCAAGTACTTTTTGAACCTGCCACACTCATTCTCAGGCCGGAGCTTTCACCTGCACTCATCCCACGCCTTGGAATGCTCCCTTAACCTAACCGGTAAACACACCCTCTACTTTCGACTTTACCTTAAATACCTCTTTTCCCAGAGTAACTTTACAATTATTCTTGGTTTAGATGAGGTCAAATATCTTACCTTCATAATAACTTGCCACAACTGAAATTTTCAAGTTGTTGAAATTATTTGCTTAATATTTATATTTCCTGCTATAATGTAATCTCAAAGAGAGAAGGAAATAGGTCTTCATTATTATATCTCCAAAGTCTAGCAATTTACCCTATTAGAAAATCAATAAATTTTGATTAAACCACAAATGACTAGCTAGATGAAGGAATAAGTATATGAATTTGAATTAATACTGGTCAAATAATGAAACAATTACCTGCACCATAATAATACTATGACCTCAACAGTTGACCTCAACGATGTCAATCATACTTCCTGACAAAACATTTGCAAAGCTTTGATGTGTATGTACACAAATAAGCCAATACAGAAAATAAGTCAAAATTACTTCATTACAAATTTCAGGTCCCTCATTGATACTCCAAAAGCACTTGATGACAAAAAAACAGGGATGGGTCTTATACCATTTTTCAAAGGAGGCACATATATGTCCAAATAAAAGTAATTCTGATATGAGTCCCAACTGTGCTATCCAGAAAGAAAACTGAGATTCTCTGAATTACTCCCTGAAAGAGCAATAAAAACCATATACATAAAATTATTTCAAACTAGCTACATATGGAGTGTAGTCACAACTCATAAAATGGGTGAATTTAGCTAATCTATTCAAGTAAAATCAATGATTCTTTTTTTTTACAGCAGTGCTGGGGGATTAAACCCAGGGCCTCAGACATATGATAGGCAGTGCTGCACCACTGAGCTACATCCCCAACTTCAATGTTTTAAAAATTAGATCTTCTTAGCTTTTTTAATTAATGAGAAAAAAACTACAAACTCCTGAACCAAATTTTTATTTTAAATTATTAGATTTCTATGCATATGAAAAATTTTAGAACATGTCATATAAAGATGTTAGTGCATTAAATTATAATAAAAATATTTTAAAACAACTTTTGAAATCACTAATATGCTTATTTTCCTGTGAAAGAATACAGTTTGCTTAAACCAACTTTATCGTGGAATATCAAGTAGGTTTAACATTTTTATATTATTGCTTAATAACTTCTTAATAAGATTTTGAGTTTCTACTTGACCTGCACATAATATATTTTTCAATGTACTGAATACTGTATTAGCCCTTTCTCTCATCTCAGCTGGAACATATTTAATATCTAAATATTCCGGTAATTTAGATCTAGAATTATACAGCGTATTAATAACAGTTTCAATGTCAACAATTTGATTACTGGTTCGTCCTTGTGCCAATGCCTCGGATGTATACATTTTTTCTAATCTATATTCTGCTGCTTCTGCTAGAGCAAGGCTTCGTTTCAGGAGCTCTTTAGAGGCTTTAATATACTCTTTATATTCTGGATTATTGCTGTCACCAGGAGGTGCCTGTTGCATTTGTGCATATATTTCTGAAATTTTTCTCAAAATGATATCATTACGCATATTGTCTGAGTGTTGTTCATATATTGGGAATTTAAATCTGCTTGATGCAGAGTCATCTGAGAGCTGAGGAACATCTTCTGAATCTGTCCACAGGTACATTTGAGATCTGCTGGTAGAACTGAGAGTTGTAAATGGAGATAGTTTGGCAGTAGATGATGTGGCAGTAGATAATTGTGTAATACTTGGTGACAACGTTGAGGCCCGGCTGTGTTTTGTAACTGTCACTGTCTCTGGCTCTGGCTCTGGCTCTGGCTCTGGTTCTTCTTTTTCAATATAAGGTTCTTCCGCACGTAAAACAACAGAAACATTGTTTGGTCTGATTGACCAGAATGGTGTATTTTCAGTCATTAGTTTCTTCCCTACTCCCGGTGATGTGAAGTCTCTAGTAGAGAAAGGAGTACTTCCTGCACTAACATCCTTGATTAAAACATTATTCTCAGTTGACGGTGTAACTGTCTCCTCAGATTTTGACCTCTTTGATCCTATAGAATAAAGATTTTTTGGAGACTTTGATTTTTCCTCAGGGCCTGGTTCCCTAGTGGGAACACTTAGTATTAGGTTCTCTAAAACTTGTACGTAATGATTCAAGTTTTGTTCTTCATCACGAGACACAGTAATGCCTTGAAGAAAAAAAATTAATAATAAAATTTATTATTTATAAATGATACAATGACAGAATCTACTGAACTCAGTTTATCTCCTATGCTGTCACTTAAATTTGAAATAAAGAACCAATAAACAAAGCATCTTACTCTAACTTAAAATTATTTTTATCAGGTTCTTATTAAAATGAATGGGCAAGATTAGTGCAAAAATCACATTAACAGTATTCTTTATATTTTTTTGCATATTTTTTCAATGTCGATTAACCTTTGTTTTATTCATTTATCTATATGAGGTGCTGAGAATCGAACCCAGTACCTCACATATGCTAGGCAAGTGCTGTACCCTGGGCCATAACCCAGCCCAAATTCTTTATATCTTTTTACATTTATTCTTTCATGTAACTTATGATTCAACAGGCAACTTACTAAATAAAAATTTTGGTTATATCCTTCAACCAAGTAGTATGTTCCAATGGGCTCAATATTGACTTACTACAGCCAAATATTAGATTTTTAGGAATTTTTGTGAGCCATATGTAAAACATAGGCATAATTAAAAATTAAATTATATTAAAAACAAAGGTAATAATATTAAAAACTCTTCACTTCTTAATTTCTTTATTTCATTTTACTATTATATATGCTCTTAAGATTATTTACATCTAGGTTATCAGTAAGATGTACATGCAATATAATGAATTCAGTAAGCACATATCACTTAATATAATAAACCATTAAAAGTCACATTTTTTTTTTTTATGTTTTAAGTTTCAAGTAGTTATTGGTGCCCAGGATTGAACCCAGGGGCACTTAACTACTGAGCCACATCATCAGTCCCATTTTATTATTTTTTTTAATTTTGAGACTGGTCTAAGTTGCTTAAGGCCTTACTAAGTTTCTGAGGTTGGTCTTGAACTTGCAAGCCTCCTGCCTCAGCCTCCTAAGTTGCTGGGATTACAGGTCAAGTAGTTTCTTTTACCTCCTTTATTTTTAATTGACAAAAATATATAAAAGTCATATTTTACAAAGGAAAACAACTTATTTATATATGCTCATGTTTATAAAATATAATGTCCTGAGTGTAGAGTGTTCATAAAGGAAAATACTGAGTAAAATGAATATGTAGTTTTTAAAAAAAAAATTTAATTTTTATGTGGTGCTAAGGATCGAACCCAGGGCCTTGCATATGTGAGGTGAGTGTTCTACCACTGAGCCATAACCCCAACTCCCCCCACCCCCCGAATATGTAGATTAGTGCAGTGAAATTAAAATCCTTGATTGTTATCTTGGTTCTACCATGTTATAGCAGCATGACTTTAGGCAATTACTTAATTTCTCTGAATATTTATTTAAATATAAAATAAAGATACATGTGTTTTTATCTCACAGATAAAAATGAGTTGGATTTTTGAAAACACTTCAAAAGCTATAGAGTACTATAGAAGATATTATTTTTACAAAGGTAACTGCTTATATTCCTTATTTTAAAAAATTTCAAAGTTCCTAGAAAATATAATGTTCCCTAGTAAGATATTCTAAAGTATACTTTGGATCTTATTTAATAGGAAACATGAAGTTTTCCTGTTAAAGACAGGTACACAGTAAGGATACCTAATATCCCATTACTATTTAACATCATTTGGAGGTACTAGTCAATGCAATTCGACAAAGGAAAATGTCTGGAGGCATAAGAATTCAGAAGAAAGAGGTAAAACTATCTTTATACACAGATGACATAAATCTAACAGTATAAAAATCAATTAAAAATTACTATAATAAAGATAATTCAGTAAAGTAGCAAGTTATAAAAACCAATATACAAATGTTAACCAGTTAGAAGATAAAATGAGAGAGAAGTTTCCATTTACATAACAAAAAAAGAAACAAAACATCTAATCATTAAATTGTAAAAGACATGCCCAAAACCTAGTGTGGCATTGCAAGAAGCTAAATTCATGAACATCTAAAGATAATAGGAACTGATACCTAGAATCTGAAAGAAGAGTCTTTCCAGAAGTGATTATCCTGGATTATCTGGATAGACTTTAAATCCAATCAGAAATGTCTTTCTGAGAGACACAGATTTGAGAGAGAAAAATATATGGGAATGTGGAGGAATAGGTAGAAATAAAAGTGATGTGGCCACAAGTCAAAGAATGCTGGCAGCCACCAGAAATTGGAAGAGACAAGAATTATATTCCTGGGCTGGGGCTGGGGCTCAGCGGTAGCACACTTGCCTAGCATGTGTGAGGCACTGGGTTCGATTTGATTCTCAGCATCATGTATGAATAAATAAAATAAAGGTCTATCAACAACTACAAAAATATTTAAAAAAAAAAAAAAAAGAATTATATTCCCTAGAGCTTCCCCAGGGAGGATGACCCTACCTACATACTTTGCTTTGGGTTTAGTGACTCATTTCAGATTACTGGCCTCCAGAATGAGAGAATAAATTTCTGTTGTTTGGAAGCAACAAGTTTGTGGTAATTTATTACATTAGCCATAGCAATATATATAATATAGGAAAATATTAAACTTATGAAATACATAATATAAACATCAACAAATGAAAGATATATCATGCCTTTAGTAAGAAGGCTCAACATCATAAAGATGCTTAGACATGACATAATCTGATAATTTATATATTTTATATGCTTCTAATTTTAAAAATCACGGGAATTTTTTTCTAGAGTTACACAAATTAATTTTAAAGTTCATTTTGAAGAATAAATAATAACCAGGAAAACAGGCCTTGCCAGATATTAAAATCTGATATTAAAATATTACAAAGCTTTTATTATAAAAACAGTATTAGCATTGGCACATGAACAGATTAATAAATGGAACAAAAAAGAAAATACAGAAGTAGACCCAAATGCATATGTAAAAATAACTCAAGGTCAGGGAAGGTTTCAGTTTATAAATTATTCCAGTTAGTAAATGAAGAAATCATTTATAACATGATCACTTTGTAGTTATTTTCTATGACTTCTATTATTACAAAGATACACAATCAAAACACTATGTGCTTCCTGAAAGAACACAATATCATCTATGAGGTATTTTTTCAAAAGAAAAAGGCAAAGTCAAACCTGATTCCAATGGACCTCGCTAGACCTAACCAATATATGAAAAATATACACGACAACAAAATAAGATATGAAACTCTCCATGGGGATATAATCTGCAAAATCTAGATTGTGGGAAACTATAAAGCATTTGATCCAGTTTTTTCAACAACTAAATTGCAAAAGGAAAGGAGGTGGAGGATTATTAACAAGGATATCAATAAATTAAATGCATGATTCTTATACCAATACCATTCCAGTCAAATCAACTGGAAATAAAGAGAAAGATAATGAGAAAAGTTCTGACCAGATATTTGATATTAAGGAATCAGTATCTTTTTAGATACAAAATTGCATTGTTTCTATGTTTTGTTAAGTGTTATAAGGGGAATTAGGAAAGAGAATAAGGAAGGAAAGAGGAAAACAATGTGGATGGAGATACTATTGATATAAGATTAATCATGACTTAACAATAGTTGAAGCTGTTTATAGATGTATAGAGATTTTGTACTGTTCCATCTATTTGTGGGTATATTTAAATTTTTTATACTACAGTGGTTTTTAAAATCTTTTTGGGAAATATTTCAATTATGAAAAACCAAAGCAAATAGCAAATCAAAAGCAAATTTAAAATGTACAACCAGCAGAGGTTTAGTTGCCATTAAGGAGACACTGCCATTATAAGTCTACTAAAAGCTAGATTTCCAAATAATTTTAACTTTTCATTTCTTAGTGTAAATAATATACCCAGGTAGTCATTAGACAAGTTAGGGTGTCAAAAGACAGGAAATACTAGCTCATTCCTAAAAAAAACAACTTGACATACTCATTAGCTCCTTCTACTGTTACTCAGGCAACACCCAAAAGCCTGTTCATGGCTACCTAGCAACAGAGAACCCTTCCTCCTACCTTGGTTTTCTTCCCTTTGTAATGCCTTTGTCTCCGCATTGATCTATTCTCATACTTATCTCCACACACTTCCCACCTCCTGTTTTTGTCCCCCCTAAAACATCTACATATGTCACATTGACTTTCTCAGTTATACTAATCATAACTGTTCTTGGAAATCAATCTGATATTTATAAAAATTTCTGCAGGTAAGGGTGTAAAAGATAGCCTCAAATATCCTTACAGACAGACCTGGTCACAGTGAAAACCTGCTTTTCTCCATATGTCAGGAAGTGCTAGGAAGCTAAACAAAATTCAAATTCTTACAAAAAACAGACTACCCTGATAAAAGTTGGATTATTTTACCTCAAATATTTGTAGTCTACAATGGTATAATACCTTCTCTATTTTTACCAGTTAGGGAGCTAAGCAAATAGCAATGTCCCATAATGTGGCTAAAGTAAGAATCTCTTCCAGCTTCAGACATCAGGATGTCTCTCTCCAATGCCTTCTGTAGCAAGATGGCTAACTGCTAAGCAGACTCAAGGTTTTGCCAGAATTTCATTTGTGGGGCTAACCTGAGCTTAAGTTGCCTGCACTTCTCTTCTTCAAATAGTACAAGGAGAATTAGCCACATAACCGAAATAACAGGACAGTAAACAAAACTGTACTAACAATTGTAGAAACAAATGTAGCAGGAAATCTTAAGGGGAAATTGGAAGACAGTGATTAAAAAGATCATAATAGCTCTCACTGAGTAATTAGTATGTGCAGGCACTACATTAAGGACTTTGAGTGTGAGGAGTGTTTTGATAAAGAAGAAAAGGAAGATACTTAGGATAAATAATGTGCCTAAGATTATATTCAACAAGTAAGCAGTAAGGATGGGATTTCAATATAAGCTGTCTCACTCCAAAGCAGGTACACATAATATCTGGACAATGTTGTCATAAAGAAATGCCACAAGAATGCTAGAAAGCAGTAAGATTATGGTAATAAAAACCATCCTTCAGGAATACATCTCTATTTTAAAATACATGTGAATATTAAGATCAA